TAGTAGTAGTAGTAGTAGTAGTAGTAGTAGTAGTAGTAGTAGTAGTAGTAGTAGTAGTAGTAGTAGTAGTAGTAGTAGTAGTAGTAGTAGTAGTAGTAGTAGTAGTAGTAGTAGTAGTAGTAGTAGTAGTAGTAGTAGTAGTAGTAGTAGTAGTAGTAGTAGTAGTAGTAGTAGTAGTAATAATAATAATAATAATAAAGAAAGAGAAGAAGAAGAAGATGATGAGAACTTTGAGATGGAATATTAATGTAACGATTAAACAATGATAATAACAAATGTCAAGGTTAGAGGTTCCACTAATGGTATATCAAACAAGTATAGTATAAACTCTTATTATTGAATTGGAAACCACACACAAAGGAGGTTCCAATCAGATTATATATTGTTAACATGATTACATTAGTCATCTTATTCAATTAATGCTAATACTTGTAAATCTCGTCAAGCATTCATGATTATAACTTATGTTAACAACAAATCAAGTTCCTTTCATAGCTCAGGTGTCGGTTATACCATACATTATGGGCTATGAAAGTGCCAAGCATTTGTTGTACCAAGTGTTATATAACATAAATCAAGATTAGTCATTTAACAAGCAAAGTATTAAAGAGTGAACAAGATAGCAAATATAAAACATGTTAGTATCAAACATTAAAGTCCATATTAAGTTTACATTATACTTATTCTTACACCATTAGTGTAACCTTTTCACCTTGACATAATTAACTTAGCTAGACATAATGAAAGAAAGCAAAATAGATAAACAAAATAAGAACATAAAAGTTAACTAAGTAAAGGAAAGGAAATGAAAGGCATAAACTTAATATTAATGAAAACAAAGCATAAAAAATACAAAGAGAGAAAGGAAGAGCATGATCTTGATCTGGAAATCAAGATGCCTAAATGCATGGCAAATGCCTCCTTTTATAGGCCAAAAATGGGAACTATTGATTTGATGACTAATTGATAAGTGGGTGACCAACTTTTGACTTGGTGACAATCCTTATCTTCTCTTGTCTGCCCAAAACGTCATTGATAACGTCAAAACTGGAGCCAGTTGCAAACATGAAAGTTGTAGGCAATTGTCTCAGCTTTCTTGTGTAAAACATTTAGCTCATTTGGACTTCTAGAACTCCAGATATGGCCAAAATACCGAACAGTGCTCGGGCTGGAAGACAGATTCGGGCTTCTTTGTTGTTGCTACAATTTGGACTTGATAATGGCCTTTTTAGATCTTGGGCTCCATATGAAAGTTGTAGGCCTATGTCTTACCTTTCCATCCATATAAATTGGACCTAAATCTGAGATCTGTAGCTCCAGATATGGCCCAATTACCGAACAGTGTTCCGGTTTGGATTGCACCGACATCTCTTCTCTAAGTTTGACCATCTCTTTATCCATGCAATTTAAGTTCTTCAAGTCATCAATCAATCCTTTCATTTATGTGATAGGCCTGCATTAAAAATAGACATTTACCATAAATTATAGGTATCTTATATTATTAGATATATTATTATAAAACATGCTTTGGTTACGGAGTTATTGATACTTCAAGTGCAAAATGATGATATAAAACCTTGATAAAAATACACTTTTAAGTACTAATCAGGTTATAAACTTAATTAGGTGTAATAATATTTTAAGTTTTTTTATTTAATCATATAATAACAAAAATTAATGAAAGGAAATGAAAGGCATAAACTTGATATTAATGAAAGCAAAGCATAAACATTACAAAAAATACAAAGAGAGAAAGGAAGAGCATGATCTTGATCTGAACACCAAGATGCCTAAATGCATGGCAAATGCCTCCTTTTATAGGCCAAAATTGGGAACTATTGATTTGATGACTAATTGATAAGTGGGTGGCCAACTTTTGACTTGGTGACAATCTTTATCTTCTCTTGTCTGCCCAAAACGTCATTGATAACGTCCAAATTGGAGCCAGTTGTAAACATGAAAGTTGTAGGCAATTGTCTCAGCTTTCTTGTGTAAAAACTTCAGCTCATTTGGACTTCTAGAACTCTAGATATGGCCAAAATACCGAACAGTGCTCGGGCTGGAAGACAGATTCGGGCTTCTTTGTTGTTGCTACAATTTGGACTTGATAATGGCCTTTTTAGATCTTGGGCTCCATATGAAAGTTGTAGGCCTATGTCTTACCTTTCCATCCATATAAAGTAGACCTAAATCTGAGATCTATTGCTCCAGATATGACCCAATTACCGAACAGTGTTCCGGTTTGGATTGCTCCGACATCTCTTTTCTAAGTTTGGCCTGCATTAAAAATAGACATTTACCATAAATTATAGGTATCTTATATTATTAGATACATTATTATAAAACATGTTTTAGTTAAGGAGTTATTGATACTTCAAGTGCAAAATG